AAATAGGGACCATAAAGTTTATAATTCAAGAATGTTTGCATACAAACATAGTCCTTGATTTACAACCAACATTTGAGACCCCAAATTTATGTGGCTAAGCGAGACAGTTAATGAGTTTTGCCTCATTTTACAACCTTTCCTGCCACAGTTGTTAAGTGAATCACTGCAGTTGTTAAGTTAGTAACACAATTGTTTTTTTTTTTTTAATTGAAAAACCTTCCACATTGTCCTCACTTGTACTCCTCTTTTGTTAGGCTAACCCTAAACAAATTATGTCATTCCTTGCTTCTTCAATCATAGGCTATCTGGAATTTCTTAGTCCCATATTTATTTTGAATATAATCAATCCATCTTCTCCACAAGTTAGTAACACAATTGTTCAGTGAACCTGGCTACCCCATTGACTTTACTTGTCAGAAGGTCGCAAAAGGGGAATCACATGACCCCAGGACACTGCAACCGTCATAAACGTGAGCCAGTAAGCCAACATCTGAATTTTGATCGCCTGACTATGAATTTATAAGTATGAAAAAAAATGTCATAAATGGTTTTTTTCCAGTGCCGTTGTAACTTCAAACGGTCGCTAAACAAATGGTTTACCTGTAGTAGATTTTCCCTCTCTACAAACTAAAGTGTGGTCTGCTTTACATTTGGGGATCTGACTAAACAATTAATTTAGTGGAAAATAAGTTGCCTCCAGAAGTTGTGAATGCCCCAACACTGGAAGTCTTTAAGAAGATGTTAGATAACCATTTGTTTGAAACGGTATAGGGTTTCCTGCCTAGGAAGGGGGTTGGACTAGAAGACCTCCAAGGTCCCTTCCAACTCTGCTATTGTATTGTAAACGCAGCAGTCAAAATATTCCTTTCTTTTTTTTCATTCTCTTTCTAGGATTTAGGATTTGAAAAGGCGATTTGATTGGTTTTTAAACTTGAAAGCGTCACCATGTCCAAAGAGGTGAAGGAACTCCAGAAACGATGGCTGGCCATGATGGATACGGTACATAGCAACTCACATGTGAGTTACGGAGGACTTTATAGCTTATGGGGGGGCATCTTCCTTCTGTTTAGGGAGAAAGGCAAACTGAGCTAAGAGCAGGTCTAAATAAAAATTGGCCGGGAAGGAGAATTATCCTCTCTTACACGCCTTCTTTCCAGTTGGGTTATGGTAGTGCAAATAGCAATAGCACTTAGACTTATATACCGCTTCATAGGGCTTTCAGCCCTCTCTAAGCGGTTTACAGAGTCAGCATATCGCCCCCACAGTCTG